TTTGTTTAAAAATCCCTATATCGGATTTAAGTTGGGATTTAGTATTTCCGGATTAATATCAAAAAATAATATTAAGCAATCAAAAAATTTTAAAAATCAAAATTCATAATTTTCATTTTAAAAAATATGCCAAGAATTTAAAACAACTTTTAATTCGGAATTTAGAATAAGGAATTAACAATACTTTAAAAAAACTATAAAAATCAAAGCTTTAACAATAAGGAATTAACAAGGAGTTAACAAAAAACAAAAAAAAATCCTGGTCGGAAGTCACACATCCGACTGGAGGGAGAGGTGTTTATTTTTAAACCCTTCCTCTGGTCGGAACACCCAATTCCGACTCCCGCTTTTTGGGAAAACCTAGTTTTTTCCCCGTTTTTTGCCAATAGATGTTGATGAATCCCGTATTTTGGTAAAACACCCATAGAGTCATGCATGCTACCATAATAATACCATTAGTTCTTATCGGTTAAATATTGGTGGTAGCTCGGAAGAAAATTATATCGGCCGACTATATTAAAGACATAGGATAGTTAGTTAAATACGGTACGGGAATTAAACGAGGTTTAATATGTACGCGTTTTATTCGGCAACATTACTGAAAAAACAATCAAAAATTCGTTGAAAAAAACGTTGACTTTTAAAAAACGTGTAAATACGTATACGTGTATAATAAGGCATCAGTTACAAAAATTCGGACAAAAATACGGGTATTATTTTGAATATTTAAATTATATCATTCACAAATTAACATAAATAGTAAAAAGATATAAAAGTATACACATTTTAAAGTAGCAAATCCCATTATTACATAAAAGAATAATTCGTAATTGCACAAGTCCACGACAAAATAAAAATAGTAATTAAATTCCAGACATGATTTTGCAAACTAATGTCAACAAATAAGACATAAAATAGAATGAGACTAAGTTAAAATCATTATCTTTATATGTTAATCAAATAACACTCAATTTAAATTCATCATTTTCATTAAGATGACATATACATATGAGAAAAGTTGTGCGACTGCTACACGCGCTTATATTATTGTTTATGTGTAAGAGTTTATACTAAAAAATGTCAGGTTTAGAATAACTTTAATTTTGACATGTTTGTTTGGAAAAACATCATAAATGTAGTAGTATTTTAAGTTTTAGTCTTTTAGGATGCTAGCTTTAACCGTCATACAATTAATTTTAGTATTTAATAATTGTATTTTAACAATTCAAAAACATGGGGTCACATAGATGAGCTTTTCTTTTTTACTTTTAAGCTATTGTTGATGTTCTATGCGTTTAATGCATTCATTTAATTGATCAATTCATGTTTTTATTTTTTATAAAATACAGGATGCTAGCTTTAGCCGTCATGCAATTAGTTTTAGTGTTTAATATTTGTATTGTTAGAATACAAAAACATGAGTTCATGGAGAGGAGCTTTTCTTTTTTGCTTTTACACTATTGCTGATCTCCTATGCATTTAATACGTTCATTCAATTGATCGATTCACATTTCTATTTTTAGTAAAATACAGGAAAAATGCGTTTTATACGGGAAGTAAGAGTTTTTTTCCTTTTTAAATGGGCCGACATTATTATTCGTTTTAAACGTGTTTTTTTGTTCAAAAAAACGGAACGCGAAAAACTAACTAGGGGACATAGTACAACGGCATTTTTGTAATTAACTCCAAGTTAGAGGTTAATAGCTAGGTTGATGTCTTCTCTTATTCTTTCTTTATGCTGCCCCTCTGATGTTCTTCGGTTCAAACGGTGTGGGATCATCCCGCGGTGAACATCATGCTCCACTCTCAAAATTATGTAATTTTGCACAATTTTTTTTATAAAAATTGTGTGATAGTACACGCGTGAACAGTACACACATGTACAGTAACTATTTTTTTTCTTTTTGTCTCACTAGCATCAATGATGTCACTCGCGTGCAAAAATATATAACTTACGTTATTGATCAATGTAACTCAAGTCCAGTCGTAATGTAACTTGTTATATACGTACATAGTATAAGAAATAAAACATTGATTTCAATGTAAACAATGAAAAAGGAGTCTAATTTCTTATTTATTTTACCGAAATAGTGAATATGTTTGTTTTTAACATTAAGACCACAAAATGTTTTAAAGAAATCATTTGTTCCCAAAAAAATATTTTTTTTTGCAAAAAGAAAAGCGATTGAAAAAAAGTTTTTTATTCAATAAAAGGGTTTATTTGTTATTATGAAATACAATATACTTATTTATGTGGTTTAATAAAATTTGTACTCCCTCCGTCCCGAAAAGGTTTGCCAAATTGACTTTTCTTGGTCAATGACAATCAACTTTTACCAATGATATTTTTTAATATGAAATTATTTAGAATATGAAAATTATATCAAAATGTTCCTTACTCAAAATATTTTCATAAAAGTATAAACTTTATAAATTATATATAAATATAATACTTAAAATCATTGTCCAAAGTTCGCTATCATTGACCAAGAAAAGTCAATTTGGCGAACCTTTTCGGGACGGAGGTAGTATTAAATTGGTAAAGAAAAAAACATTTCAGTTGTAATTTAATTAGTTAAAGATAAAGATAAGTAAAATATTACAAATAATAAGATGTAACTCACGCATAATTAGATGTAAGTCGCGCATAAAAGTATGTAACTCGTGCATAAGAAGATGTAACTCACGAATAACAAGATGTAACTCATGCATAATAACATGTAACTCGAGTATAAGATGATGTAACTTCGTATATTATCAAATGTAACTCCAAGCTAGAATCAAAATAAACAAACTCGTTGTCTTAAAAACCTCTAAAACATATAAAAGTGATAAAAAAATATATTATAGAAAAAGTGTATCCATATAAAAATCTTTTACAAAAAATGTATGAATATAAAAAAGATACTACGTACAAAATATGAATATGAAATGCAATGCACTTATTTTATTTAGATTAATAAACTTTTTGTTATGTATTGATAAATAATATAAAAATAGATTCAATTATAATTTAAATTGAAGATAAGAAAAAGTAAAACTGCAATTAAATTTTTAATATTTTAATTTGATGGAAATGGAGAAGAATTGAAGAAAAGAAAATTAGAGAAAGAATATAGAGCAAAAGAAAAAGGAGGAAGAAACTCCAAGGAAGGAGAGAAAGCAACTTAATTTGCAAAAATGGGATTGACACACCATGCGGAAGGTGGAACAATCTCACGGTATAGTTTGATGATGTTCTATTTTTACCTTTCTTTTTATTTTCTTTTGGGAGAATTATCAAATAAGTCTTCGAACTTTCATAAAAGTGTAAATAAACCCTTTTATAGGACGCTCTGTCCGGCCGTCGACATTTGGGGCGGTTTCTGGTGAAACTTTTTGATGATTTTTTTATCATCTTCTTCATTAAGTCTAGTTACTCATACCAAATTTCAGCTAAAAATTCAATCGGAAAGGCAGTCAAATGAATTTTTGAATATAACTATGAAATAAGCAGAATATTTCAGAAAATCATTTGACTGTCTTGTCAATTATATACTGATTTTGTACTCCCTCCGTTTCCTTTTTTTGAACGAAGAGAAATCCCGCAGCCAAGATGTGAATAGAACCAACTTAAGGCCAAACCATCACTATTAAGATTTACTGATGCGAATTATGAAACCAATGAAATTGGTTATACATGCTAGAAAAAGAAAAGTAAAATGAGTACTTTAGTCCCTTTGAAAATATGTTCACTCTACCACCACCTTTCATCCCTTCACTTCAACATTGAGCAATTCACACTCAACTAAAGAAAGATTGTTATCCTCTTTAACATCAATAATAGCAGGTTCTTCAGTTACCTAAACACGTCCCCATTTGTCTACTGCTAAACGCATTGAGCCCTTAAATATGTCTATCTTTGCAACTCCAGTACCTTTCAGAAAAATGGGGTACCGTACCTATCATTCATTTGATTGGATCGCATCACTTTATCATTTTTAATTTAGATTTAAACAATTCAACTGTTACATTCTCATTGGTCCATGTGGACAAAGGTATGATACCTTATGGGTACCATAGAATCTACCATCACGGTATTGATAGGTGTCATTGTGTCAACTTGATCGTTGCGGGCAGTGAAAATGATTGTCCCAATCTCATCACCCCGTTCGTATTATATCTTCCAATTTTCCCTTTTCATTCGTTCCAATTAAACTTCCATTTCCCTTTTTGTAAAGAATTTGTGGTTCACAACACTTCTTACAAATTTCTCTTTCCTCTGCATAACTCTCCACCATACAATACTCACTTTTCTTAAATTGTGTGTCTGAAATGGAAGATCTAATAAGATTCGAAGTAGTATCAATTACGTGCCAATTTCGTGTCTATGTTATGTCCATTCCCCCCTAATCCAATTTTATGTCAGTCATCATGTGCAAAACTCGTGCAATTTTGGTAGATTCTATAGTACGCTTAAGATACCGTACATTTATCCACTTGGACCAATCACAATGATGTAGTTGAATTATTTAAATTTAAATTAAAAATGATGTAATGATTTGAACCAATCAAGTGAGTGACAGGTACGGTATCCCATTTTTTAAATGGGTACCAGAATTGTCACCTCCAATTTTTTGTATCAACCACGACTGAATCTTTAAGAAATTTTCGTCCCAATATTAATGTGGGGTTTTCTATTTATAGCTAGATGCGTGGTACTACCTCCGTCATAAATTGATTTGCAAAATTGACTTTTCTTGGTCAAACAGTGTCATTTTATTAGCTTAATTAGGATGTCAATTTTTAATTACATTCTAATTTGGATTTCACAACTTTGAAGAAATTTTAATGTAGTTTCCGAATATATATAAATTTTAATTATTAAAAATTGAATTAATTATCGATAGAGAGCATTGACTTTTATTATTGTTTGACAAAAAAATGTTGATTTTGCAAAACAATTTGGGACGAGGGAGTATCAAATAAAATTAGATATTTTCACAAAAAAGGTTAGTTTGTTGAAGTATGCCATATAATAATCTTCATAAAACTACAATTACATTAAAAAAAGATGGAAAACAAGCACGGCCGACACTAATTATCCCACATGTTGAAGAACCCGGGATGTGCACTCTGACCCGGTTCACCGCTCCACCCGGCATATGCCATGCCAACCGGTGCCCCACCCGGTTCACCAAAATACCCACCGCCGCCGTCATGGCCGCTGCTACTCCCCATCACCGACGACGACGACTCACCGCCAATGCTCATCAATCCGTGGCCCATATAATGGTGGGGCTGATAATTGTTATACTCCGAGCAGGACTGGTGGAGTTGAAGCTGCGTGTGGACGTAGCTGATCGGAGTTTCTTGTATACACTGGTGGTGGTGAAGGGAGAAGTCTTGAACTCCAGGCAGGGTTCGCAACGGCTGAGCGTCGAAGGGCGGCAGCATGAGAGGGTATGGAGAGTGCAAGGCTCCGGCGCCGGCGGTGCTCGAGTCGTAGAAGAAGTGAAGGTTGGAGGCGGCGCCGAGGGCTAGCGTCGACATATCGTAGTCACGCCTCCGAGAGGACTCGAGGGCTTGCGCCTCCCGGAGGCGCTTGGCTGCGCCTCCGCCGATGGGGAGGGTTTCGCTTTCGAGGATGGCTTTGACGTCGTAGCGGCTCATGTCGAAGTTGGTGACGGCGTTTAGGCCGCGGAACTTTATGGCCGCTATGTCGTACGCTTCCGCCGCTTCTTCTTCCGTGCCTGCATGCAAAATGACAATTAGGGACACATTTATGATTAGCTACTCAACTTGACAGTTGAACTGAAATTTAAGTATTTGTAGTGTTATCCAAATTTTAAAAATTATTTGACCAAGAAATTCAACGGTGACAAACTTTTGTGGTACCGAGGGAGTATTTAATTAGGTCCAACTTGTTTTGATTAAATTTTAACTGGTTTATTTAAGTTCAATATCTTGAAAGGAGATTTTGTCACTTTTAGTCCCTCGATTATTACGTCAGTGACACTTTTGGTACTCGACTTTAAAAATCTTCGAATTTAATCCTTCTACTTTTGTAAAAGTGACACTTTTGGTCCTTCAACTATTACAATAGTGACATTTTTAGTCCTTCACTTATTGTGTCAAAATCATAGTACAAGGACTAAAATTGTCAATTTGATAATACTCAAAGGACTAAATATGGGAAACTTGGAAGTCGAGGATTAAAAGTGTCTCTCTCACAATAGTCGAGGACTAAAAATGAAAAAAATTAAAAGTCGAGTACCAAAAGTGTCATTGACAAGACAATCGGGGGACCAAAAGTGACAAAAACTCCCTGAAATGACACCTTCAAATGAGAATGATATCCCTCTAAATGAAAACATAATTACTCATAAGCAAATCAGTTGAGAGAACAAAAAAATGTGAACCTAACCAAACTTTTTCTTGATCCAAAAGGTGAACCTAACTACACCCCGACCCGACATGACACGTGCGAGGATGTAAATCACGGTGACTCAGTCAGCGAAGTGACAGTAGACTCATATACTCATGCGCGCCAGAGGTCCAGCCTATTTCAGAGGCTGTAACCTCCACACGGTCGGTGCGAGATTCGAACCTTGATCCCTTGATCCAAATTTCCCACCACTCAATCAACTGAGCTACCCGTGCGGGTAAAAGGAACGTTTTCTAAGTCCATTCACAAGTACATAAAATTATATACTCCGTATGAATTTGCACCATTAAATGACATACTGCGTATGTATTTAAGCTTATGTTAAAAGAAGTTGGGCCAATTTTCCAGTTAAGCAATTAAGCCAAAAACATGTATCTCGTTTAATATAAACCAGAAATTAAAGTGGAATAATTGCTTACCGAAAGTTCCTAAGTAGAGGTCTTTGTTTCCAGCAACCCTCCCAATTCTTGCCTGCCATCTTCCATGCTGGTGATGCCTGTTTGTAGATACTCTTCATGAGAGAGATAGAAAGGGGAGAAGAGATAGAGATGATATTTAATTTAACCTCTTTTCTTTTAATTAGTATGTACTAATTAATAAAGAATTAATCAAGATTGCTTAATAGGATATTAATTGTGTATGAAAATATGTATATGATCGAACCTTGTTACGCCGCGGTACATAGATGCACCTCTTGAGAAGCCGCTACTTCTCCTGGAATTGTTTAGCAAAATTACAATCAAATTAATAAGTAAATATAAATGACAATATTATTGAAAAAAGTTACATTACTGTAGCAGAAAATTACAAATTCTGCAATTTATAATAATAGGTAGTATATACTTCCTCCGTTCCTAAATAAGTGCAACGGTCAACATTTCACATTTGCCGAGTCACAACTTTGACCATTAATATACATTACTCTATATTAGTAAAAAAAATTAAAAAATCAGATTTTGAAAATTTACAATGAGACAAATTTAGTAATATTTTTTCAAAAAAAATATATTAACACATCAATAAATAAAACGTAGTCATAGTAGAACATGTGAATAATGTAAAATTTAGTATGTTGCACTTATTTAAGAACGAAGGTAGTATATTGTTGGAGTGTCTGTTTCTCTTTAGGCTTATAGGTAAAATACAAAAGGCTAAAGGGTCAAATAGGTAAATGAACTAACTTAAAGTGTTCAATTAGCCCCTTATATAGGAGGTTCTGCCCGACCGTCGCCAATTGGGGAAGACAGTCAAATGATTTTCCGAAATGTACTGCGCTATTTAACTACGCAGTTATCTTCAAAAAATCATTTGACTGCCTTTCCGGTTGAATTTTAGCTGAAATTTGGTATGAGTAAAGTAGACTTAATGAAGAAGATGCTCAAAAAATTTCATCAAAAAATTCCACCGGGAAATTCCCCAATTGGCGACGGCCGGGCAAAACCTCCTATATAAGAGGCTAATTGAACACTTTAAGTTAGTTCATGTAGTTATTTGACCTTTTAGCCAATACAAAATACTGCCGTATAGAGAAATATAGTTTTCTCAATTGAGAAATGCTTCAATTTTCAATTCTCTCAAATTGAAATATTTCAACTTTCTCAACTGAACATGCTTTAATATTAGGGATTATCTAAACAAAATTCTTATGATAGTCACTAATCTGCAATAAAATTAATTTATAAAACACTGCAATTGATTACCTTCTGATGGAGGCTACAAATTCTTGTCTAGTCATGTGTTTCATATCCTCCAATTCCTTCTCATAGTCACTAATCTGCAATTAATTTGCAATTTCCAAAAAAAGATTGATTAGGTTTTGGCTGAATGGTTTTGAGCTATTTAAGTAGAAGCTTAGGATGTTTTTTACTTAGACTGTAATTTGTTGGTCTGGTCTGGTCTGATCTGATCTGGTCAGAACTGGTCTGGTCTGGTCTGGTCCGGTTTCTTTGTATTTTTATAACTATCCAAGTCTGGTCTGGTCTGGTCTAAACTGGTCTGGTCTGATCTGGTCTGGTCTGGGACGAATTACAGTCCAAGTAAAAACATCCTTAATTAGATCATTATCACACAAGGGGAAAGAAATCCATACTGGGAAGTTAGTAGTAGTAGAAGCTCCCCAGTATTTTAATGCTGCAAGATCGTAAGCCCTAGCCGCTTTCTCCTCCTTATCGTATCCACCTATACAAACCATAGTAAAACAATGAACAAAATTATACTCCCTGTATGATTATAAACCTAATTAATGGACTTATTGAAATCATATAATTGCAGAGATTAAGATTGGAAAACTCACCCAAATACACTATACCATTACGTCATATTAATATGCAAAATTGCAAACCCCGGCAAGAAATATGCAAAATGGAAAATAATTAGTAACAATCAACATTCGATAAAAATCATTAAAATAAATTAAAATATGCGGGCAACTATTAGTTCAAAGGGAAAACATTGAAATAAAACCTTGACGACCCTTTCTAGATTGGCCTTCCCTCCTGCAACTATTATCCCACAAATGTGCTTCATATCTTCCTGTCCATCTATGCCTACACATACCATTTATTCTCAATTAAGTGGATTTTTATAAAAAAGAGTACAAATTAAATTCAAGATCATAGAAATTCATTTGTAATTTGATCTCTTTAGTGTAAATTAATCAACTGCATATGATAAAATGTAATTAAAAAGAAAATGAGTACCCCGCCCATAAATTTCACTAACCTGGTAACTCCCCTATAAATTGATGTTCTTTGACCAAAACTTTCTAAAGCCCTTCTATGAGTAGCAGCTTCAACTATGCTGGTGTTGGAACCGCCACTGGCGCCGCCACAAGCGGCGGTGGTCGCACTAGGGCTCGCCTCAGCGTGACCCCCACCACTAGTTGAACCTTTCCCACTGCTCCCCATTGACAGCGTCACGTTACACGCGCTCTCAGGCGGATCAAGATTATCGCAACCGCCGCCGATTTGGAAGGGCAGCGGCAAGAATCCTCCGGTGTCACTCGGGTAGATATAATCGTCCGGCCCCGGTCCATCCCCATGGTAAGATGCCACTAGATCCGAAGGTTGGTTGTTATCAGCGGCAGCGGTGGCGGTGTTTCCGATGCCGAGGAAATCTTCTGCCACCCTTGGGACCTCGTTTTCTAGGGTGTTGATGAAATTCCACTCTACATATATCAAACAGAGAAATTAAAACATGGGAAAAATTGATAAAAAAAAAACTGTTTTGACTTTTAAATAATCAAGATTCAATTTTTCTTTCTTCTTTTTAACAAGTTATGGAACTGACCTGGATTCTGGAAAGGGGTGTTGCTGCTGTTTGGGTGAAGTAGCCCAAAGGAGAAGTGAGGATGAGAGTGGGCAGCTTCAGTTGGAGAGAGTGGGAAAGAAAGCCAATTCTTTTCTGGATTCATGCTAGCTTCTAGCTTCCTTTTGGTCTGATCTATGGATTGATCCTTAGCTTTCTGCCTCACAAGTAGATTAGAAACTAGAGGATTGGAGCTTATTTTTACTGAAAACTGGATAGAAGATTACCCTACAAAATCATCAAAATCGTCTCCCTTTAGTTCTAGGGAAGTGTTTTATGCTCGGAAGTCAAAGAATTGAAGGAGAGATAGAGGAGAATAGGAGTGGGGATGGGAAGGGGATAGTTAATGCATGAAGTGATCCAAGAAATTAAAGGAGGATTTATTGACTTACAAATACAAGAGATCGAGTGAAACATGTTTTTTTTTTTGCAGAAATGGACAGAACTATTGAAACAAACTACTATGAACTGACACGAATATAAGCTGTTTTTTGTATCCAGTTACCCCACGTTTGTTCCCTCTCTTAGAACAGATAATCCATCAATTCCTTGGAATCTCCGTTGCCAAATAAATACAGTTGTGCTTTATACTGCGTGTGTGTGTATTGTGACTTTACTTATTCCTAGTCAAAATCATTACCAAAGAGTTCATTTTTTGCAAGAGATATTTCACATTGGATCCGTGCCAAATCTGCGTCAAGTCCGTGATTTTTTTAGTGAATGTATGATTTCCGGTCGAATGTTTTAACCGGAAACAATACATTACAGTATAAAGGTCATATATGAAGTATATAGATAAACAAAGTATTATACGCATGTATAAATTTGTGAATATTCTTTAACAAATTTTATGAATAAAATAAAAGTTTGGTAGGATGAAAGAGAGAGAGAGGTTGATTTTTTTTAGAATAGAGAAGTTAATTAATAGTAATGTTTTACTAAAAATGAAAAGTAATTGTATTGAAAGTCGCTCATAATAGAGCAGGGAGGACATACTTGATAAATAAGAGGAATGATCATGTCCAGCAGCTCCCGGTCGAACATCGCCATTTGGGGAACTTCTCGGTGGAATTTTTTGATGAAAGTTTTTGATCATTTTCGTCATCAAGTCTAGTTTATTCATACGAAATTTCAGCTCAAAATTCGATCGGGAAGGCAGTCAAATAATTCGTTAAAGTTAACTGCGCGATATTATACATAGAATAATGGAGGATATTTGGGATCATTTTGATGATGTGGAGGATTATTTTGGGGATCATGGATGAGGAGTTGAGATTATTTTATGAGATTATTTGATAGAATAATCTGGTATCAAATTCTAAAGCTGGATTATTTTGAGATTATTCACAACTTTCTAGGCATATATACTGCATAATTAAGGTGACTACTCCAATGCTCATAAGGTTTTATTGATGTCTTAAGTCTAGGGATTTGCATATATGAAATCCATTTCTGTGTTGTATTTTTAAATTTTCATTTCCAATATTTTATAAGATTCTAATTTGTATTGATAAAAGAGACTTAAAATTGAAAAATTCCTTGTTCTTTCTACTGATTAGGTGATTATTTAAATGTTTTAAAATAGTCAATTATTTGGTTATTTTTTGAATGAGGTTAAATTTATTTATCTTTTTTTATTATGAGATGGTATACCTCAAATAAAAGTCTACGTGTAATTTTACGTCACAACTTGGATCTTCAAGGTCTGTAATTTACATATTTACTTTTTAGTGATTTACAACGTTCGTAACAGACTATGCTATTTTCATATTACATGAACTTTTTAAATCATTATTAATTATTAATTATAATAAATAATGTCACGTTAAATGCACTGCACGATAACTATTTGGCTATCGCGCGTACAAGATGACAGTAAATATTGTCATGTTAGTCTCATTTCAGGAATAAAAATATAGTAGTCCTATTTAAGAATTTCAAACTCTATTTACTCCTATTCTGGATCGGCCACGTGTAGTAATATAGAATAGTACACGTTTTTTTATGTCTCATAGTGTAATATGGAGTGCACGTGAGTGTGGGAGTGCATTTAAGTTAGAGATTTTGAAATTGAGTGCATGTTTCACAAAAAAAATCTAGGTAAATTAAGATCATAGATGGGGAGAAACTAATAGATTTAGAGATTATTTGATATCATCTTAAGTGGAAGTGACATGACAATAAAAAGTCATAAAAAACCGTAAACTTGAGTATCATGGTCTAAGACAATAATGAGTTAAAAGTTTGACTTAATTTTGTAGAAATGACATAATGTATTCTCGTAGTTATCAATTTTTTGGATGAACAGTAAGTATATATTGAAGTAACCATCCAAAGAGTTTAAACTGTACAAGCAAAAAGGTGGCCAAAATTTTAGGCTGACGTTAATGACGTTAATGCTTTGGTTGATGCTTTGGTTTCCAGTAGAATGACGTTAATGCTAAACAATCCAGTAGAATGACGTTAATGCTTTGGTTTCCAATCCCAATCCCTATTGGTGGATGGAATCATGCTAGTATTAGTTCTGATCCGGTTAAATATTTAAGGTGGTAAACGAATCAAATAATTTATGCTTGATTCCTGATTCGAATTCGTATAAGGTTATTCGAATTCGAAAAATTCAAATACAAATACACAAAAGAATACTAAATTTGATTTGAATTGTTATCAAATACAAATAAAAATATCAGTGTATTCGATTTGAATGTTAATCAAATATATTCGATAAATAATATAGTGATAATATTAACAATAATCTTAATAATAATAGTGACAACATTATAATAATTATTAAAAGATAGTTATACCCGCAAAGTGTAGCTCATATATACATTTACGTATACAAATTACAAGCCTATTTAATTGTAATAAATCAGAAGTATTATACGGAGTAAGGGCCGGTTGTAAACGAAACAAATACTTTTAACTTAATTCATGATTTGGATTCAAAAATTAAGGTTTAAATGTGCAAGTATATAATATAAATACAAATACAAACCAGCTTTTTGGTTCAAACATCTTTCAAATGCAACTGTAACATTTGAATACGAATGTAAATGTAACATTTGATTAGAGTTTTTCTAGGATGTTACAATAGATTGAATATGTAACACTTTAAAGTATGTGTTACAAAATTAATGTTACATTAGAACTAAAAATGTAGTAGTGTATGAATACAAATAATTATGTTATCAATTCAAAGAATAATCAAATATATTCGTTTATACATATACAAATCAACTACCTAATATGCATGTGTGTACATCAACGGTCCACTATATGTGTGTGCATGGTTAAAATTAAATTATATATACTCCTTATATCTAATAGTTTTTTATTAGCAACAATTCTAAATATCTAACATAAAATTAGAGTCGTTTGACTTTGGTATATACAATTATCAACTTATTTCACACATTATAAGTAAGTATAATTTCTAATATGTGTGTGTTAGTATTTATTTCAAAAAGTTTGAAATAGAAATATATTTAAAAATCATAAAAATGCTTCACTTTATTCTATTGTACATAATCTAAAAATACATTGATTCATTAATTTTTAAGAAAATGTAATGTTACATATCAAATTCTATAAACACATATTAAGTCATAGCATGCATTTATAACATCAAAATATAGGAAATGTTATTTTAAAGTGGTATTTGACTAATATTTAGTCTATGCTCAAATCGTTTCGATATTCGTATATGATTCGTTAATTATTCGTATTGCTAAACAAATACAAATCGAGATCAATATTCGTTTCATATTCGAATTCGTATTAAAACAAGACAAATACACATATAAAATCCCACTATTCGACTCGATTTGGTTCAATTCGTTTATAACCCTAGCTAGGAGTAGGCAAACGGGTACATGAACTGTAGGCCCGGACAGGAAATATGGGTTTGGGACGGGTTAGGGTCGGGTCCTAGTTTTGAAAAACCTAACGGGGCGGGTCCTAAAAAGTTTAGGAACCATACGGGTATTAGAATTTGTAAAAACGGGTATCCGGACTGATCGTTTTTTTAAGTTTACTATATTTAATATGATATAATACTAGCAACACCCAAAAATTTGTATATTCATGGATTATATTAAACAGAGTTTTTCTAAATCCATATCAACTTCTAAATTATTATTCCCAATTCTTTACTCCCAAATACATTAAATTTTCTTTTTGTTTTTTAAATAAAGACCATTGCTCAACAAAGTGTGACATATTAATTTAATTATGTTAATTTTACATACATTTTGAGATTTATCAAGCTTTAAATTGTTTTCTTAAACATATGTGTATAGTGGCTAGTCTAATTACTTATGACTTTGTGGTGATGTCAAAATGCATGATGTCTTATTTTTTACACTTTAAAGTTGGTGTTACTCCGTATTTAATTTAATTTGTGTAGTTTGTACTTTATACATTTGTAGTTAGATATTTTGTTAACTAACTAATTCAAAATTTTGTTTTATATTTTCATTTTGAATCTTTACTGTATTATGGTGGTATTGATACATAATTAGTTTGGAAATTTTATTACCTACAAGATATTTTGTTAGTGCGGTATATTTTTTAAGAAGCGAGAACTCGGACCGAATCGAACCGTTACAAACGGGGCGGGTAAGGCTCGATTCCTATTTCGAGACTTGATATACCCGGAACGAACATATCCATTAAATGGAATTAGCGGTCTTGAAAATTTCTCAATTACCCGGATCGACCCGGACCGTGCTCACCTCTAATGTCAGCTCCACGTACAACACAATACAAGGGGCAATATAAGAGGTTTGATCAGGGGTGGAGACAGCCAGACAGGTAGGGGTTGGAGGGGGTCTCGGCCCCCGCAAGAAAAAAGGTACTCCCTCCGTCCCTATATAAAAGTATCCATTCATTTTACACAAATCTTAAGAAAGTGGTTTGGTTGGTACTGTTTGGCACTGTTTGGACACTGTTTGGCACTGTTTTGCACTGTTTTGCACTGTTTTGTTTGCCAAAAAGGGAAAGGGGACTTTTATTTAGGTACGGCCCGAAAAGGAAACCGATACTTTTATTTAGGGACGGAGGGAGTATATATTATGTATACATACTTTTAATGTATAGAAAATATGTTGATATTTTAAACTTTGATACCTGCAATGTAAATTTTTTAAGGACCGGCCCACTTGATCATAGATTTCTGACTCCGCCACTGGGTTTGATGCATCAAACTCTTTTGTACGTTTTATATTCATTTGCAAAACCTCCTCTTTGAACAAATTTAGTTACCAAATAAATAAAAAATTATTTATATTTT